GGTCCCTTCCAACCCAAACCATTCCATGATTCTGTGATTCTATGCACAGAAATATCGGTCTTGTCTGTTGCAGTTTGCAAACAAATTGCAGAATTCCTGCTCTGCGTTTTTTGGAGCGCCGCGCTCGAGGAGCGCGGAACGAGCGGGCAGGCTGCAGCAGGGCAGGTCTCGCTGCAGGGCTGAGCGGTGGCGAGCTGGCGGGACGGCGAGTTTGGGCGCTCGTGCTTTGCTGGGAGTCCTTGGCCAGAGATTTCAGAGCGTTGCCAGAGCTCAGCCAGGAGCAAACACAGCAGAAACACCCCCGTGTGTCCTGGGAGAAGGGTTTATTTTTGGCTGCATGTGCTTGTTTAGTCTCGACACTGAAGCCTGAACCCCTGGGGACGGGTGGAAATTAACCCCACGGTGGTGCCATCTCACCTCTGCAAGCTCAAAATGTTCAAACAGACTTTTGATGACTCCCTGCAAAAAAAACCCCACAAAAAACAGATCTCAAGCTACTTATCTTTTGTTTTCTGAGTCGCCAGGATGTGTTGAGCTCACTCACTTTTCAGGGTCGGGTCTAGAGAAGTTTTGGGGTTTTGGTTTTGTTTTGCTGTGATACCCGGGCTCTGCGTTTCGGGCAGCATCTCGTCCATCCCCTGCACTCCAACCGCTGAATAATTGATTTTATCCCTTGAAACAACCGCGGAAGGGGGAAGTGATGTCAGGGACCCGCTCCCGTGACTGCAGCAATGAAAATGGGAAGTGAGAGTCCTGGAGCGAGAAGATGTGTTGCTGGAGGTGGTTTGAGACAGCAGCCCTGAAAACCTTTTTAGCCCGGGACTTCCCAGCAAGTCGTATGGTGGTGGCACGGGGTGGGAACTGGTCACCTTGCGCCAGCTCCGGAGCAATTACTTCTCTCTCCCAAGCTTCTTCCAGCGTAATTTACGGGCGTAAAGAGACTGATTTGGGAGCCTTTTGCTAGAACTGAATTGAAAATGGGCATGAAATTCTGAGTATGGTTATAAATGGCTGTGGTGGGAGATTGGTCTCCGCAGGGATGCTGACCTCTCTGAAAGATCACCGAAACAGGTGAGGAGAGGAGGCTGTTTATTCTCTTCCGTTACGGAATAATTTTCATTCGGATTTCTGCGCAGGCAGAGCCCTCTGTTCCATACCAAATACCAAGCCTCCAACTAATTTCATAGATTTCTAGGTTGGAAAAGACCTTAGAGATCATCCAGTCCAACCGTCCCTAATCCCCCATTATGATATAATTCAGCCTTTGCTTAATCATGTTTAAGTGTTAAAAAATAAATAATGAAGGCTATTTTACCAACACGTTTAAAAGTGACCTTTTACTTTATTGTCTCTCCCATTTTTTTTTTTTTTTTGTTTCCCTGCCAAATTTGCTTTCTGAATGAAAGACGACCCCTTCCCTGCGGTGACTTCAGACGTAGGGATACTTATCTAGCAAGATGGGAATCGTGGGAAAGCCCAGACCCACTCTTGTAGCGATGATACGAAACGGAGAAACCTCCGTGGGTGAAGAATCTGGCTGGGGAGAAAATATTTCTCTCTCCTTCTTGAGACTTTTCCTTTGGCTGCCTCAGTTGAAGACGTAACCCTCGCAATGAATAAGGTCCTCGTAGATATTTTATGTGCAAAAAGTCTTTTATTGAAGTGCCGTTGCTGGAGCTCTTTCAGTGCTCTTTCAGGCTGCTCTGCCCACATCAGGCTGACGTTGGGAAGCACCAAAATTCAGTCCTCGGGCTCGGCATCGTGCCGGTCCCTTGTTTGCACCGGGAAGTGCAGGCGGAGGCGTTGGGTGGTGTTTTCTCTACTTCCCATCCCACCGTCTTCCCCGGCTGGCTCTGGGTTAAACGACGCAGGCAAATGAGCACCTTGATTTTTTTTTTTCTTTTGCAAGAGTAATTAAAATAATAGGTGGGTCTGCCTGCGTTTTACAACGCCGAGGAGGCAGGGAGTGTGCCGCCCGCATCTCCGCGTGCCTCCGTGTCCTGCCAGCTGAAGTTGGCTGCAATTGGGTCGTGCGGATTTTTACTGAATTTCTGTTTCTCTCCCTGATATTAGTCCCAGCTGAGATTTCCTCTCGTGCAGCGAGCGACAAGGTGATAAAAGTGGTTTGCTTCGCTTTGTTTTCCTCAGGGATCGACCAACGTGGTTTACCAAGCCCACCATGTCAGCAGGAGTAAAAGAGGACAAGTCGTCGGGACCAGGGGTGGATTCCGAGGCTGCACGGTTTGGCTGACAGGTATTTTCCTGGCTGTGGAAGCATGGTTTTGTGTGTGAAACCCACTTGCCTACATAAGTATGGCTCAGAGGTGGGGATTTGGGATCTGCTGGAAACGTCAGCGTTCCTCGGGAACTGGACATTGCAAACCGTTGACACGTGGGAAACACCGACGACGCGGGGCTGGCACAGCAGGATGTTCTCCCTGGCAGCTGCTGCCCATAACTGATGTTTTTATGAATTTCCCAGCTGTTATCGGGCTCCTTTGAACACGTCAGATGCCCTAAGGGTCGCGCTCGTTGTTCCCAAAGCGTGTGACGGAGGAAGCCTTGGCTCGAATCCAGCCAGTCCCTGGCAACGGAGACGTGCCCAGGGTTGTCCAAAACAGCACGCGGATGTTTTCCTTCTGGTTTGGTGGGAAGTTTATTGGGAGACCTGGGTCTACTGTGTCTAAAGTGACCTCGTGAGCAGCACAACGAGGCGGTCATCTTGTCCGAAGAATAAATACTTCCCAGACAGCGAACCGCCCCGGAGGCGGTTCCTTGCGCAGCCGTTGCGGGTTTCTTCCATCATTTCTCATTCCGTACGGCTTCCGATGGGTTGCCCTTCTCTTCTGCTTGGAAAGATAAACTCAATGTTTGGGGATTAGGGGCTGCTAGAAACGACTGCATTTATTCTGCTCTGCTAATATTTACACAGCTCTGTCTTTTGTTGCTTGTCCAGTTGTTTCTTTGCTTGTTAAATATTGATATTTTCTTTGCCGGAAGATGTTGATAGATGTACTTGGCAGGGTTGGTAAAGCCCTTCTGATTTGCCCTCATATCAGCTTGTGTGCTAGATGTTGGATTAAGGCATGCTCCTCTTTTGTTCTCCTCTTTAATTTCGAAAAGACCAACGCCTAATCTGCTTTACTACCATTTCTGAAGCCAAAAAAAAACCCCTATCCAAGACAATTTCATTCTTTTTTCAAATATCACTCAAAGATCCTGTGTCTGAAAAGTTTGAGCTTCTCTGGCTGGTGATTGTTCTTTGAAAAAGACAGTGGGCTCCTAACTTTCTAACAGTTTAATTTTAAGTGACTATATGGAAGGACATTTCTTTGCATGGATTAAATGGAAGGGGGTTGCCCTGTATTGCCAGCTCAGGAGAGCTATCGGTGAGTCTGTTGTGCTGCAAAACCCAAAGGCATGGCCAGCAGCATTCACCTCTTGCCCAGCCACGTTTCCTCTCCAGCACAAACACAGCTGTTCTGCATCAGACCAAAAGTCCACCTCGCCCAGGGTCTTGTCACCATGAGTGGTCAGTAGTAGATGTCATGCCAAGGGTATAAAAACAGGTGAGCAGACGATGCTGTCTCCACAGGAGATTCTCCAAGGCGAAGTGTTTCCTGTAACAGGTGCGGTGTTTGGAGGTGTTCTCTCTCCTAAGTCAAGGTCCTCTTCCACTTCAAGGAGTTTTCAATGTATGGATCCCCACCCAATGGAAAGGAGGAACGTGGTGCTCCAGGTGCACTTGCCGCTTTCTGACACAGCCAGTAGCAAGTGGTTTTTGTGCGAGGGAATGGAGCCGGAACGAGAAGGACCCATCTCGGACACAGCCAGTAGCAAGTGCTTTTTGTGCGAGGGGATGGAGCCGGAACGAGAAGGACCCATCTCATTTCAAATTGTCGTCCTTCTGGCTGATGACACCAGGAGATGCACGCAGCTGAAGATGCGCTGCTGGTCTACACAACCATCCTGCTCGCGCAGATCCGTGGTTGCTGGGCCTGCAGAAGGAGGTGGCCATGGATGCAGAGAGGCCATTGCTGCTGGAGCCCGTCCCACCCCACACAGTTGCTGCAAGAACCTCTCCTTGGGTTCAGTCTGGGGGAGCAGTTGGCTGTTCATAGGGGGAATAGGAGGAGGAAGAGGAAGATGCTGTGAGACTTACAAGCAACAAGCATCCTTTCAAGCTCCACCTACTTACTGGTACCTATTTGTCCCACCATGGCCCAGCAAGAGATACTTTTGCAGCACTGCTGGGTCAAACCCCTCCAGAGGTTGAGATATAGCAGCTTTTCTCATGGCATTGATGCCACCCCTTCAAAAAGAAGGGTTGGCCAGGGCTTTGTGGTGGTAGCCGTATACTAAAACGATGAGTCCAACTTCCTTACCTCGTTCCTTCCTTAAAGCAACTTCTGGCAGAAGGAGTCTCGTTGCCAGTGTCCCAGGAGGTATCGCGTTACGCTGTCGTTTTCACTCTTTTGACCTCAAACCTGAACCTCACTTTTCTGTCTCCACAGGCCTCTCCGGAGCTGGCAAGACAACCATTAGCTTTGCTCTGGAAGAGTACTTGGTCTCTCACAGCATCCCGTGCTATTCCCTGGACGGAGACAACGTTCGGCATGGCTTGAATAAAAACCTGGGTTTCTCGGCTGGGGACCGCGAGGAGAACATCCGCCGCATCGCGGAGGTGGCCCGGCTGTTCGCCGACGCCGGGCTCGTCTGCATCACTAGTTTCATTTCTCCTTTCGCAAAGGTGAACCTACTGCATCACATTCCGCTCTTTTCTGGGCAGCCTTGGTCTCGTGATTGTTCTTAGGGAAGAGAGATGACGTAGAGGACTTCCTGTTGGATGCTCCTTGTAACTTCTCCGTTCTTTTGTAAAACACCACCGGTACGCAGAACCACACGCAACCGGTACAAACTTCTGGAGGGCAGTTTGACGTGACCCCTTTGAATATATTCAACGTAACAAAGAGATGAAAACCTAAGAGAAGTTTAAAATCTCCCTACTATTAACTCCTAAGGAGGCTTGGAAACAACAGCCTGTCGTAGCACTATCACTGCTCTGATGGAAGAAATATTGATTGTGGTTTTGTGCTTCCTGAGAACACCAGGTGGCTGCCGTCGTCAAGCCAATGGAAGCATTCATAGAGTCATTCATAGATTTCTAGGTTGGAAAAGACCTTAGAGATCATCGAGTCCAACCGTCCCTAATCCCCATTAAACCATATCCCTAAGTAGATCATCCACCCTATTCTTAAACACATCCAGGGATGTGCAGTTCCTTTTTTCAACATGGGGCAGATAATTATTCCCATTCCAAAGTTCTGCTGTCCTGCTTAGCGAAGAAATCTTCTCGATGGTTTGGATGGAAAAAAGCTGAAAACAGCTCAAAGTTGTAGATTTTTTGTATTTTTTTTTGGTTTTTCAAGTATCTTTAAGGAAAAGGGGGGAAGGGAGATGAAAAACTGTTATTAGAGTTAGTGCAAATTTCAAAGATCTGCACCAGACTTGCATTTACCTGCGTCCAATTCCAGGGCACATCGTGCTTGCTGCAATTCAAACACAAACCCTTTTCCTGTCTTTCTTCTACCAGGATCGGCAAAACGCACGGAAAATTCACGAGGCAGCTCGACTTCCTTTCTTTGAAATCTTTGTAGACGCTCCTCTGAATATTTGTGAAAGCAGAGATGTGAAGGGCCTGTACAAAAAGGCAAGAGCTGGAGAGATCAAAGGTATGGAAGAGCGAGCTCTTATTCCACCTTTTTCTTTCCGAAGCGTTGGAAAGCCTGTCGCTGCGTCTCTACGCGGAGAAGTGGGTCACTAAAGGCTCTTTGTAGTGCATGAGAGTGTCTTGTTTCCCTAATCTTGCTGTCACAAGTGCCACTTGTAGTGCCCGGTGTGGTTGAACGCTCCCTGGTTGGTTGTACGGGGTTGTTGGCTCTGGGGCACCGAGTATTGACGTTAAAAGGATTCAGTTTGGGTTTCGTTGTCCGTAGGATTCACAGGCATCGACTCAGAGTACGAGAACCCCGAATCTCCTGAACTAGTGTTGAAAACAAACGTTGCGTCGGTGTCCGAGTGTATTCAGCAGGTTGTGGAGCTCCTCCGAACACAAGTAGGTCATTTTTGTGCCACAGCTCGTAAACCTGCTCGCGGCTACTGACTTCTTGGCGCGCGTGTGGAAACCGGCACGTGGCTTACGATCGCTGTCTTGTCTCTCTCTTCCAGAACATCGTGCCCCGCAGCTCCACTAAGGATGTTCTTGAGCTGTTTGTGCCCGAGAACAAGCTCAGCAGCGTCCGAGCGGAAGCGGAGACGCTGCCGTGCGTAGAGATCACCAAGGTACCGTCCCGCGCAGATGCTGCGCTGTGATTCGGTCGCCCTTTCGCTGTTTGAAGGGCAGAAGCTTCGATGAAGGTGTTGCTTGAGGGGGCCTCTGTTTCTCTGAGGGCTGTGTCCTTTTGTGGCTGTGGTGAGCTGAGACCACTTTCTGCTGTGTCTCCACCCTGCGCTGTAGCAAGCCAAGGCCATCGGTCTCCTTTTGTGTTAGTACAGCCCCGCAAGCAGTTGTGCTGTCAAAGTACATAAGTCTGACTTAAAAATCCCAAACAAAACCCAAACCAACCCCTCTGTGGCTTTCTCCCCCTTTCTGAATGTCCTATGTTGGAAGAAAAGCAAATGAGCGTGTCGTTGGGGCGGAAGGGAGGGAGAAGGTGAGCCGTGACCCGGTGACAGGAATCATAGAATCATAGAATGGGTTGGGTTGGAAGGGACCTCCAAGATCATCCAGTTCCAAGCCCCCTGCCATGGGCAGGGACACCCTCCACTACACCAGGTTGTCCAAAGCCCCATCCAACCTGGCCTTGAACACTCCCAGGGATGGGGCATCCACAGCTTCTCTGGGCAACCTGTTCAGCAGTGCCCTCTGGGTTTGTTTTGCAGCTGGATCTGCAGTGGGTGCAGGTGCTGAGCGAAGGCTGGGCCACTCCGCTGACCGGCTTCATGCGCGAGGTGGAGTACCTGCAAGTGATCCATTTTGGCACCCTGCTCCATGGTACGGACCCCCGCGCCCTGTGCCACCGTCGGCCAGCACGCGATGCTGGCCCCGCCGCGTCGCAGCGTGCGGAAAAGCGTAACGCTCGGCCGCGCCGTCCGTCCGTCCGTCCTTCCTCTCGCGCGTTCACTGGGAGGGCTGGTGAAGGACCGTGCCAAAGGGGATGGAAGGTGCCAAAGTTTACCGTGCCATGGCTCAGGTCCTGGCTCACGGCTTTGACACCTTGCGTGGTGCTGATTAAACATCTCGGCAGCCATCGTGCAGCTCTTTTCATGCTCGGTTATACCAGGGTAAATAAAGATGCAAGCCCAAAGCCAAGTAAGCAGGAAGGCTGCCAGATGAGGTTTGAGGTGGGAGGAGCAGAGCTGGATTTCACTTTCCCCTCTCCCAGTTTCATAGAATCACAGAATCGTAGAATGGTTTGGGTTGGAAGGGACCTCAGAGACCATCCAGTTCCAACCCCCCTGCCACGGGCAGGGACACCCTCCACTACACCAGGTTGCCCAAAGCCTCATCCAACCTGGCCTGGAACACTTCCAGGGATGGGGCAGCCACTACTTCTCTGGGCAACCTGTTCCAGGTTTTTCTTCTTATCGGTTACCGTAGCTTGAAATAATTCAGATTTACCTACTCGTTAGCACCATGTTAGAGGTGCTTCATCCCTGGCAAAGGCCAAGGGTGTTCAGGCAGTGATGGTCTCCAGCTGAGAGCGGAGCAGTGGATAGTTCCATCCCGTTTCACAGCTGTAGGTGCCGTCACTGTGAGTTCACGTGCACGCAGGGCGCTCGCGCTGGGTTTGGTAGACCTGATAGCGATCCCTGGCCTCGGGGCTCTGGGATCTGGGTGAGCGACTCCCTTTGAGTCGTGCCCCGCTTCTAGAGGATCCCGTGGTCATGCTGGCCAGCGACTTGCTGCTGTTAGTAGGACTTGGGCACCGTGCAGCAGGTGCAAAGCTCAGGACTGCTCCCTTTGGACCACAGGAGCGTCCGCGTGGGGGTTTCTGCTTTCAGACACGGCGTAGCCTTTCACCTCCCGCCTGGTGTGCAGACGGTGTTCAAAAGCACGTGTCCTTCTTATCAGACCCTGCTCCGTGGTCTTTGAGCTGTCTGTTGTGCCTGACCAGGTCACAGAGGCGCCCTGTAATGACCGCGTTGCTCCGGAGCTCCGCACTTGGTGCCAGAAGGTCGGCTCAGCGAGCGTGTTTTACCCACAGCAAACCTGTTGGCATCACTGAGCACGGCTCCTCCGGGGTCCGCGGGCATATGTTTAGGGTTTGTAGAGCTCAGTGGGGCCAGGGACAAAGCCCAGGACACCTGCTTTGCTGGATGGATGAGCTTTCCAGAGCAAGATCTGTGCAGTAGAAGGCATCAACATCAGTCCCTGGTCCGCCTTGTCTCCACTGAGGTCTCCAAACTGAACATCTGCATGTTCGGGCCTGCAGGGTGACATCTGGGCAGGAAGAGGAATATCCCTCGTTGGCTTGGATGAGCTTTAGGAAACGGTGGAGAGTTTCCTCGTGGTGCCGAGGCTGGTGTGCGGCATTGCCAAAGGGAGGTTTGAGGCTGGTCTTTCCCGAATCATTAGTCCAGCCCTTTTGCCCTGGGGTGTGGGTGATGTTTTTTGGCAGCTTCTGCTGTGCCCGGAAGGGCTGCGATCCATTTTGATGGACTCGTGCAAGTCAGCGCTCCTCTCGCTCAGACGTGGAGCAGTGAATCCCACCTCGGTGCTCCGAGCAGTTGGATGGGTGAGGTGCTTTGTGTAGGGCCATGATGGCCACCAGGAGGAAAGGTGGATCTGCTGGTGGTAGGGCAGCTCTGCCCTCTGTGCCAGCATGACCCATGTTGGATGGGTGAGTGCCGGGGAGGACCATGACCGTGCCAGCAGCACCCGACCTGTGGTTGGGCCGTGCTTGCTGGAGGTTTTACACCAGCAGCTTTGGTTCTTGCAATGGCTACTGCAACTGGTGCCCGTGAGTGTTAATTATCTTAATTGTTTTTTTTTTATTCTCCCAGGAAGGAATCTCTCTGTAGGTGGTACGTATATAAATGTCGTTAGGTTGTACAGAAATTACGTCAATTTAAAATTTTTTTTTGCTATAAAGTAATTTTTTGAGATTTATTAAAAAAAAATAAATAAATTATGAAGACTAGACACAGGCACGGCCTGTTTATGATTACGCAGTGGCATGGCACACCCCGTGCCCTACCGCCCGGTCTTCACAAAAATCCCAGTCGTGTAATTTCATAATTACCTTCTCTGGAGTGATTTTTTTCTTTAATTCTGCATCTCATGGAGATCCTCAGCTTCAGCTTTTTCCATGCTGACCTTATTGACTGTTCACTGCTGAATAGAATTTAAATGTATGAAGTTCGTATCGATTCGATCTCGTGGGACTGTAGTTATGATTATTCATGAAGGTGCTTGAAAATTGCTGTCCGGCAGACGAATGATGCCTAGTCGTGAATTAAACACAAATGCAAACATTTTAATAAAAGATTTAAAAAAAATCAGAGTCAAAATCCACCAATTAAGACTCTCAGGGGTCCAAAATTTCCTTCGGTCAGATCAGAAGAAATTGAATCGGTGATTTGTTCGTTCTTGTTTGCGAATGGAAACCCACGGGAGAGAGTGGTTCTCCTGAATTCATACCAGGTTATCCCAGGAGAAATGGGAGGAACTTAGTGGAGGACTGGGAAATTGGGGGAGTGGGGATAAAACCAACATGACTTCAAGGTATTTAGGGACAGCGCTGAAATCCAAAGCGACGCGCGCCGACGGAGGCTCGCTGTGTACACACCGAAAACAGATTAAAAGTGGACTCTGCAGAGATACAAAGGAGGAGGAGTAACAGTGTGGAGATAACCAGAAAAAAAAAACAAAGACAAAGACACAAAGCAAAGCGTGGTGGTGTTCTCTCTGTTGGAGGTGTGCAGGGAACGAGATGCCTCAGGGAACACCAAGCTGGAGCCACCTTGGTAGAGGTGGTATTCCTGGCCCAGGAGGTAGGGGTTACATCCAGGGTTGCATTTTTCCAAGTGCTTTTCAATTTTTCAAAGAGACTTTCCCAGGAGCTAGCTGGAGGAGAACCTGGTCTTTCCAGGGAGACAGTGCAGAAAGTAATTAAATGCTCCAGGTGTCTTTGAGACATCTCTGGCCCAAAGATAGGGACTTTTCGTGTTCCACTAACACCACTGTTTATTAGCAGTGCAGGAAAAACGGGCGATGAATAAATCTACATGACGGATGGTGGGTCCCCGAGCTAGTCCTGGAAAATCTGGGAGAACGTGTGCCTCTGGCAACCTCTGTTTACTCAGTGCCCAAGGCTGGAGGACGTTAAAACCCTCCCTCTCTCTTGCCAGACGGCATTGTCAACCTGAGCATCCCCATCGTGCTGCCGATCTCCACGGAGGACAAGGAGCGGCTGAAGGGCTGCGAGGCGCTGGCGCTCAGCTACGAAGGGCGGAGGGTTGCTATCCTGAAGGACCCGGAGTACTTCGAGCACAGGAAGGAGGAGCGCTGTGCCCGCATCTGGGGCACCACCTGCGTGAAGCACCCGCACGTCAGAGTGAGTTTGTCCCCTTGCTGGGCTGGGAAACCTGGCCAGGATGGGCAGAGGCTGGAGAACCAAACCTTTCCAAGACTTTGAGGGCCGTGGGTGTCCTGTCTGCTCTCCAAGCCCAGCTCCTCACTGGGAAACATCATGTCTCGAGTTGCCAGGATTGGATTTTTAGGCTCGCTTGATGCTTAGCTTAGCAAGAGCGTCAGATAACAAGTGCAAGGTGAAAGGGGAAATGAGCATGCTGCCGAGGAGCTGCTCCTTTCCTTCACTCATCTTCACTGGCGTGCCTACATCCAAATGTTCTTAGCATGACCACCACAGCTGGGTGCAGGGGTAGGGTCTCAGCGGCGGATGCCTCACTCCACGGGGTTGCAGGTTGCGCTGCTCATGATGTTCCGTTCACGTGGTTGCTGTAAGAACGTTTTCTGCCTACGATGTGCTGAACGAGAAGGGAAAATCACCCTGCAAGCAGAACCAAGCCTAACGCTTTTCAGAGGAGACTAGGAAAGGGAAGAGGAGATAATTTGCCGTCCCCTCCATAATGCAGGTGTGTGTCATTCACAGATGGTGATGGAGAGCGGAGACTGGCTGGTTGGTGGAGACCTCCTTGTGCTGGAGAAGATCAAGTGGAACGATGGGCTGGACCAGTACCGCCTGACACCGCTCACCCTCAAGCAGAAGTTCAGAGAAATGAACGCTGGTGAGCACCCTGGGTTAGCAGCGGTGGCACGGCTCTTCTTGCCCTACCTGGCACGAGGAGATTTGTGTGATCTCTGATTACTTGCTCTCAAGTTCACGGCACTGGCCAGATCCCTTCTGTGTGCCCCCCAAGCGGCACCGTTTGGGTGGGCTGAGCAGCAAGAGGGACGTGGGCCATGGCACTAAAGGTGGCACAGGGTCCCTTTGGTTGAGGACAGTGCTTGTGATGGGCTGTGTCCTCAATGGGCATCTCCAAGCATGGGACTGGAAGGCGTTGAGCACCCTACTGGTGTCCTCCCTGGTTGGTCAGAGCCTCTCTTTCCACACCTCGGGCGTTTAAAGCCCCGCGCTGACGTGCCTGGCCTTCAGCACAGGTCAGGTGTCCTCTCACAGGTGTCTATCCCAGCAGGCTGGCAGGCATCAGACACCTACCCTCACTTTGGGGAGAGAGCGTTGGCCTTTCTGGAGTTTCCATGGAGCTTGGAGAGGTGGCAGGTCACTTAAGAAGTCAGGGAACTTGGTGGAGGTGCCCAGTGGCGTGTAAAAACATTGTAGGGGAGCTGCTAGGAGTGAAATCGGCCCCAAAGGAAGGATGTGCAATGAAAATGCCTACAAGAAAGATGGGGAGAGGCTGTTCAGGAGGGCCAGTTGTGATAGGACAAGGGGTAATGGTTTTAAAATAGAGGGAGGTAGATTCAGGTTGGATATTAGGAAAAAATTTTTTACCATGAGAGTTGTAGAACACTGGAACAGGTTGCCCAGAGAGGTGGTGGATGCTCCATCCCTGGAGACGTTCAAGGCCAGGTTGGACGAGGCCCTGAGCAACCTGATCTAGTTGGAGATATCCCTGTTCCTTGCAGGGGGGTTGGACTAGATGGCCTTTGAAGGTCCCTTCCAGCCCTAACCATTCTATGATTCTATGAAAATGAACTTGGCAGAGCAATGAAGAAGCACTTATGTGTATGAAACGCTCATCTAAGGTATTTAAGGGCTCCGTCACGTGGAGATAGGAGACACGTTTTACGACATACGGATCTCAGGACTGCCTCGAAATGCGTAGCGCGTGAACGAAGCCGCGGGGTCCGATGGTCAGCGCGAACCTGTGACCCTCCAAATCTTTTTTTTTGCCTTTTAGATGCCATCTTCGCGTTTCAGCTGCGCAACCCCGTCCACAACGGGCACGCCCTGCTCATGCAGGACACGCAGCGCCAGCTGTTGGAGAGGGGTTACAAAACCCCCGTGCTCCTCCTGCACCCCCTGGGAGGATGGACCAAAGACGACGACGTCCCGCTGGAGTGGCGGATGAAGCAGCACGCGGCTGTGCTGGAGGAGCGGGTCCTGGACCCCAAGTCGACCGTCGTTGCCATCTTCCCCTCTCCCATGCTCTACGCCGGCCCCACGGAGGTAGCGTAGCCGTTGGCTGCTCGCCGCGACGAGGCGGAATTCCGGCTGTGGGGATGCCTGCTGCCAGCCTGCCCGCACGGCTCCGCACGGCCACGGGGAAGGGAGGCAGGAGCCGTGGCCTCGCTCTTGGCTCCCTCCATGGTTCACCCACAGCTCGCTGCAGCAGCTGTCTCCCAGCAGAGCTCGGCTCCGTGGGCTCCCATGCTTTGGGAAGCTCTGCGGAGAGCTGGGGAGAAGGGGGGCTGGGAACAGACGTCACCACTGTCACCTTTTTCTCTGTCGGGCAGGGACCCCCGTTTGTTTTCTCCTGGTGGTTTCCCTCCTGTCCCTAAATCTATGGGATGAAAGCGGTAGACGCTGAAGCTCTCCTGAAGGAGGAAGGAGAGGGATGCCTGGTCAGCCTTCGCCTGCGCGGGGCTCAAGGGCTGGTGGGCACTGGGTCTGCTTCTTCAAAAAGCAAACTGCCACCTCCATTTGCTGCCAAACTGGAACAAGACCGGTTCCCATCCCCAGCGTTTCCCTTGAAATCACAGAATCGTAGAATCACAGAATAGTTTGGGTTGGAAGGGCCCACAAAGATCATCTAGTTCCAACCCCCCTGCCATGGGCAGGGACACCCTCCACTACACCAGGTTGCCCAAAGCCTCATCCAGCCTGGCCTGGAACACTTCCAGGGATGGGGCAGCCACAGCTTCTCGTCCTTAGGAGATCTGTGGTGTTGCATTGGGTCCCAGCAGTGGAAGATGGGTCTGGGTGGCCTGATTGCCATGAGAAGCTGCAGCAAGGCTGCCGACGCTTCTCCTTCCTTCCTTCCTGCGCGTGGATCTCCTGGATCACTGCTCACCCCATGCCTCTCCTTCGCAGGTGCAGTGGCACTGCCGAGCTCGCATGATCGCCGGGGCCAATTTCTACATCGTGGGGCGGGACCCCGCTGGCATGCCTCACCCCGAGACCAAGAAGGACCTCTACGAGCCCACGCAGGGAGGGAAGGTCCTCAGCATGGCGCCGGGCCTCACCTCGGTGGAAATCATCCCGTTCCGGGTGGCTGCTTACAACAAACTGAAAAGGGCCATGGATTTTTACGACCCGAAAAGGTAACGCGGGTGGCAGCATCGCTGTTCCCGATGGTGGTCTGCGATCGCGTCCGGCTCGCAGCTTGCCAGGGGAGAGGGAGAAGCAGCTGTTGTTCCTCTTAAAGAGAGGAATGGGGGAGGCCTTTGTAGTCACCAGGGAGGGGAAGAAGCATGGTTTGGGGATAAGTGGCAGTAGGACAGCCTCCTGCAGCTGGAGAAGCGCGTTACGTGCAACTCCAGCAATCCCAGAGCAATCCCAACGCTGCTAATCGTAAAGATTCAGCTACATCTGCTGCTAATCGCTGTAGATTCAGGTTGGATATTAGGAAAAAATGTAGATTCAGGTTGGATATTAGGAAAAAATTTTTTACCATGAGAGTTGTAGAACACTGGAACAGGTTGCCCAGAGAGGTGGTGGATGCTCCATCCCTGGAGACGTTCAAGGCCAGGTTGGACGAGGCCCTGAGCAACCTGATTTGAGATATCCCTGTTCCTGGCAGGGGGGTTGGACTAGATGACCTTTGAAGGTCCCTTCCAGCCCGAACCATTCTATGATTCTATGATTCTACACCTGGCACGGCGGAAGAGCCGTGCTGGGGACGGCTCGGGCCGGTTGTGCTGATTTCCCTCCTGTCTCTTTTTTTTGCCGCAGTCACAACGATTTTGACTTCATCTCAGGAACGCGCATGCGGAAGCTCGCGCGGGAAGGTCAAAACCCACCGGATGGCTTCATGGCCCCCAAAGCTTGGAAGGTCCTAACCGAGTACTACCAGTCGCTGGAGAAAAAGAATTAACACTCCTCTTCCTCTTCCTCCTCCTCCTCCCTCCTAGAAATACTTGTATTAAGAGTGAGCAGTGATTGATTGATTCCCTACGACACGGATCACTTACTTGGCATTTCCAGTGCTCTGACTGTAGGATTTTCCTGCCTGAGTCAGAGTGGTTTTTACTAATCAGAAACACTTGGAGCCTGGTCCTCCTCCCCTTGACGCTGCCAGGAGCATCCCTGTGGAGCTGGAAGGGGAGGGCAGCTCAGTTCCCAGCTGAGCGTGGCTGCGGGAAGCCCAGCACAGCCTCCGGATCCTTTTGGTGCCACCAAGGCCACGCACCAGCTCCCGGTGCAGAGCTGGGGCCTCGGTACTGGGATAAAACCGTATGGTGGAGCAGGTACTGGGATAAAACCTGCGTGGAGCAGGATGCCTTTCCATGACCCCTGGAAGAGGCAGAGCAGCTGCTGAAGTGAGGAGAGGGAAACGAGCACTCACCGCTTGGATCCAGCTGCTGCCCTCCAGGTTGTGCCTTAAGACAATTTTTGCTGACAAACAGTGGGATTTTTTTTAACAGGATATTTTTGTAATCAGCCTTGACCATCGCCAGCTCCTTGTGGCCGAGTTGATTAGTCCCTCTTCTTCCTTGCTTCCTCCTGCTTGACCCCTCTGGTCAAAACAAAACCTGGGCTGAGCGTTGCTGGTGCTCCAAGTTCAGGTTTCCATGGGGACTGTGTGCCCAGGGGATGCTGTCCTGGGAGGCACCGGACAACCCAGGAGATCTCTGAGACATCTGGGGACAGCACGCCAGGAATTGGGGATACTGTTTACGTGCTTTCCTGAGTATCCTCCCACCTGGCAGCATCGGCTCCCCCTTTCCTCTGCCTGCCCTCCTCCCATCCAAAAGGCAAATTAAAGGAAAAAAACCACCAAAATCCCAGAGCCAGGTGGGTACAGCCGGGTAGTAAACCAGGCGAGAGATGGCTGGAGCGCTTCCCATCAACCTGAACCCCACATGGGTACGGGTGACCCGATTCTACGTTGTACCTGCGGGATTCATAGATTTCTAGGTTGGAAAAGACCTTAGAGATCATCGAGTCCAACCATCCCTAATCCCCATTAAACCATATCCCTAAGTAGATCATCCACCCTATTCTTAAACACATCCAGGGATGGCGACGCTGGCTCAACTGGGAGAGCGGCCAGAGGCCAGCAGGAAAATCCTCCCCCCCAGCCACGTGGGATGCCGGTGTGCGAGCAGCAGTGCTGGTGGCTGGTGGAAAGTTACCACAGACCTTATCTTCTTTTTTTTCCTTCCCCTGGACATGGACTTTGCCGTTGTGCTGGAAGCTTTTCCGCTGACCCGCGGCTCTTGCCGTGGTTTCCGACGGAGCTGCGCGGCGTGACTCAGCACCGAAGCTTTATCCGGCCACCTCTGCGTCTCACCCCTGTCTCGGTGGTGGCTGAGGTTTGGGTGCAACACCCCGCGCTGCTGGGTGGCCTGTGCCTCGGTTTTCCCAGGGAAAGGGCCGATCCCACACGTGCCAGCGGCCAGGAGCGGGCCCCCTCCCCGGCCACCGCGCTCAGGCGTGAGGTTTTGAGCAGAAGACAGCCACGCACTTGTTATGGCAACAACCCGAACTGATGCTGTTTGTACTCGTCCTTCCTAGCAGATGCTCCAGGACCAGTCAGAATGTGTCCCAAATGAAATGGGAAGAGCATTCTCCTCCTCTCCTCCATCAGTTGTCACTACGAACGGAGCGGCGCTCCGTAAAAACAGTCGCGCTTCCGCTTGAGCCTTAGGGAAGCTCAAACCTGTTTTGCTGTCACCATAGTATGGCCTCTGAGACCATGTACACAATCCAGCATATTTTTGAAAATATTCTGTTTTTCTTTTTTTTCATCAACTGGTTTGTGGTTTTTTTTTTTGTAATTTCTAAGTATTCCGAGCAAAGAGCCCAAAGCTGTCGTTATACCTCAAGAAAACCGCAACACCCACATCAGGAGCTGGAAGCACACTGGTACCAGTGCCTTTTTTTTTTTTTTTTTTTTTTTTTTAGCAGGGACCTGGAAGCCAAAGCCAATTCTCCCATTTATGACTGGGGTGTTTGTTGGTTTTAAGGTGGGAGATGGTGCTGCTGCCGCTCGCCTTCTAATAATCGGTTCAAAACACCCCCCCCCCCCCCTCCCCCCACCATCCCCTGCCAAAAATCCAAACGGTTCCAGCAAAACACAAATGTTGTGTTTTCCTTCTAAACTAGCGTGGTGTACTGATTACCTCCGATTCCAATGGATCCGTGGACGAGGTGGGATTTTTTTATAGCGTATTTATTAAAGACGTGAGACTGGAATTTGTACCTCGACGAATGCATCTCATGATTTAATATATTCTGAACTTGATACTCTGCTACAAAACACTCACTTTTAGTACAAATAAATATTTATACTTGTACCCAACTCTGACTTTGTAATTTTTTGGGGGGGAGGAAATTACTTCAGCACCTCCTGGCTGCTAAAACCCTGCAGAAATTGCAGGGGGGGGGTGATGCTGTACTGCTTGGTCTCATCCCATCCAGTGCACACACTGTCTACTGGTGACTGCTGTGGCCCATCAGGTCCTAAACAAGCTATTTGCCTGCTGGGAATGTCTGTGATGTTTGGAAAAACACAAAAAGGAGATTGGGTTTGTCCCTATTCCCGTGCGCTCAGTTTGATGCTTAAGCTCCCTGGAGGACACGCTGCACGCTCCCTCTGGTCAAACCAATTGAGATGGGATTCTCCAGCCTGTGCTGGAGCTTTACGGAGTAGGAAGCACCCTGGAAAAGCAAAGGAGGTGCAGGATGGCTTCCAAGCTGTGTTATACCTGAGGAAGGCCAGGCTGGTGCTGTAACAGCTACTGAGAGGGGCTGGGAGAACTTCCGAGTCAGAGCAGGCGCCGAAAAGGAATCGAATAGCTGGAGAACTTCATCTGGCACATGCATAATTCAAACCTCCTGAGAAAACAGCTTCCAGTAAGAGGGACCCCCTCCATGTTTAACTGGGGCTCTCCCAGAGTCGGCGTTGGCTCACACCGCTGCTTCCTGCCCCGTCACTAACGATGTGACTTGTGGGACTAGCATTCCCTATCCCAGACGTTTCAGATTTCCATTGCCCAGTGTTTCTGGTGTCCCTCTTTTCCTACGTCCTTCTGTTAGGGCAACATGCATTTACCACAGACCTTTTTCCTCGGCATCAAAAAGCAAAGTAATGATTAAATCATTAAAAAGTACCAAGTTCGGTACCCGAGGAGATGAAACTGGGTCAAACCAAGACCTACAGCAGCCCCGCGGGTTCCAACAATTCCCAGGACGTATTTCCGTCGCGTTGGGGCACGATCCATAGCATTGTAACAAGAAAAATCAAGTTATTGAAAACCTACCGACAGTAGCTTCACCAAAACACTTGTTGCCACTTACATTTTTAACCCTTTATCCCTACGTAACATGAACTTACTAAAACTGCCACCAGCGAGCACAGCAGAACGTTGCTTAAATCACATTTATAAACCTAAAACCTTTTCCCTTCTCTTCGCCTTGGCGGATCGGAGCACGTGGCAGAGCAAAACATCACGAAACATCCCCCCACACCTCAGGAATTGCGTGACACTCCATGGTACAACGCCACAGTGGGTCTTCCAGAGGAGATGAAATGGCAGCAAGCCCTCGTTGCAATGCAGAGTAGACCAGAAAGCCATAATTTCAGAGAGCTTGTAATATTCTAAGTGGGGCTTTATGAAAGGCCAGTTAAAGATTCTGCTCTGATTACTCACATCAAGGGAAAAAATACAAATAAACCCAGCATTCATTTAAAAAGTCCCAAAAAGCAGAACTCGTACAAAATAAAAACATATTCAAACATTTTTTACAGTAGTTTACTATCTTTACTAAATGGCACCAGGTTTCCAGTGGTCACGTGAAAGAAAAATCAGCAACATCTCAAGTTTTGCCTGGAAGTTACTCTAGAAGCAGATTTCCTATCTCCCTATTTGCTGCTAAAAGGAAGAAGTAAATCTGAACCGAGTATCGACGAATCTTTAATCTACACATCTTCTGGTTTGGTTTGACTCAGTAAGTAGAAAAGATTTTCCATGCTCGTCTTATCTACAGATTATGTCTGTATATATAAAAAAAAAAAGAAAAGTGTGGATATATACATTTCATACACGCACGCTCGAACGGACATACACGAACCGGTAACGGATCGTCTCCGCACCGGTGACTCGCTGAACCCCCGGAACCACGTCAGGACCTGCTTTAAGGCCACACAGTGCATCGACTATGGGACAAGACACAGGCAGTCGCTCTTGGTCTGGGCTGTATTTGTTCCACTTCATGGTCTACTTGTAGTTGCGTGGGACGAAATTGCAGTAACTTAAGAGTTGGTTGTATAAAAACGATTCCAGAAACAGATCTCCTTTATCCAAGGAACATCCCCGCTCCCACCCCCTGCCGCTGTTTTTGCTAACTGATTACCAAAGTGAAACTCAAATCACATCAGAAAACGGCCAAACGCGCTCGTTTGCCTTAATCTAAACTAACGTGCATGAGAACGTTCTGCAGCGTGGCATCCTTCGATTTCCTCATCTTCTCAATCGCCCTGTGGAGATCCTGCTGCTGCACGGGCCGAATTTCGTCCTCGTCGTGGCTTGGAAAGAAAGGAAAAAAGCAAGATGATTACTCAGGTGCTGCGGAACAGCTGTTCAAACGATGAGCAAGTCATCACTGAAAGCTCTGACATGGATCCAAAACGACACTGGAACCATGCCCCTGTCCACCCGTGTACTACCTGCACGTATGGGAGATAATCAGAAGAACATCCCAGCAAGTGGAGTTGGCGCGTGCAAGAGCGTTACCAGCGTGTAAGCCTGGTCATACAGTAACATCACCCCCTTGCTGGTTCCTGCCACCTCCAGCTTGACACCTTGGAACAAACAGTCTCGTTTTCCTAGTCCAAGTGAATAAAGGTGATTTACTTGTTGGGCTTTTTTGTTGTCAAGTGGCAATTTGTCAGGAAAAAAGAGAACTCCTGCTTTCTGCCAGTCATAGCAAGGTTTTCTGACCCTCTATAAAGTTGCAACTCACATCAGAAAACTCAAACTAATCACTGGACGGTGTGTAGCACCGGCAGCATTCACGATTGCTGTCCAGCTATCGCGACAGACGGAATAAAGACACCTACGTCTCTTCTCCACAGGCGGAATTCACGTATTCCCTGACGCAGAGGAGCGCTGCATCCCGGCACATTTCTTTCAGGTCGCTGCCTGAGAAGCCATCAGTCTCTTTAGCAACTTCGAGGAGATCTACGTGCCTGTCCACCTGTCAAAAACCAGAAGGACAGAGTGGGAAAACTCTGACGTCATTCACGTTGTCACCGAGGACAAGACACGGTCACCTCCAAGTAGAGGTTGGAGGTGACCAAGGTGCCTCCAAGGCACCTGTCCTAAGCAGATCCTTTTTAGTCTTGACTTTTTTTGAGAGGTGAAAGAAAATTATTTGATCAACTTACGCTTTGAACCTCCAGGTAGTTCATTTTTTTTTCTGGACGTTATTTGAAAGAGCACGATTGGTGTTCATAAACTGACTTTTGACCAGTAACACAGCAAGGCTGGAAAAAGCTCCTGTCACACTTATGCTTTGTTGTTCCCACCTTCCAGTGCTGAACAGGAATTCCAAAAAACTCTCCAAAACTCAGTTGTCTGCCGAGTTACTGCACGACCACCCCTACAGCCACGCAACGGGGAACTCGGAGGCAAAATAACGTGTCCAACTCCCTGCGCTGGATCAGACTGAGCTCCTTCCAGCCCGTGTCCTTCCTTACAGACTCTCTGACAGCAGCCCCTTCCAGCACATTTTCCAACACATCAGTACTTCCTTCTCAAAAAGTTAAAGCCAAACTAGCCTAATAAAAGGCTGAAATTGTGAGATGATAACTTCTCCTAAGAGGGAAACTATCCTGTGGCGATGAAGGCAAAGCCCCAGGTGTGATCTGTGCTGCTTCCAGCTGTTCCTTCAACCCATGCACTCCCCAGGATAACCCAAAAACGCGCCAACATCCACCCTTGCAATTCCCCACCATCTCTCCTGCTTTTCTTGAAGGCCAAGGGTGACAGCGATGCCAGCCGGTTGGCTCCGATCTTGAGCTTGTACCCGAGCCCCAGCTAGCTCCCTGACCTCCTAGACCTGATGGCCTGAAGGCCATCAAGAACCCAACAGAGCAGCGCAGCTGGCTAGGAACGCACAGCATACGGCCACGTTGTGCAGCAGGCATTAACAAGGATTTCCTTTCAAGTGAGAAGGACAAAATCAGACTTTAAGACAGGCAGGGAAACGGAGGGTGACTACACCAGTCATGTGAAGGATGGCCAGGAAGTTTGTCACCCTGGCTGAAAATAAGTTGAGCTTCAGAGATCCAATTCCTCCTCCAGGATAACCGTAACACAGGCTGAATTGTTTCCCCTCCTCTGAAAAAGGTTATTTGTCTGGCTGTGATTCCCTGCCAGATGCTTGCTATACGTTGCGTTCTTTCAGGTCCATGTTCAGCAG